GGCAATCTCAGCTTCAATGTCCTTTTTGACATCCTCTCCTGCAAACCATCTCACCCCCTTGGCAATGATGTCACCAGCGCTGGTGTCTGAATGAAATTCTTGTTCACGATGGCGCTTGGTTTTCCAACACTCGCCCGCAGGCGTGGCACAAAGGTGCAATACGAATTGTCTCTCACAGTCCTTGCCAGGCCCCTTTGTCAGCCACCAGATCAAGTGTGGGTCTGTAGCCGCTATCAACCTGGCATTCAGCCACAGTCTCTTTCTTTTTCTCGTGTGATCTATTTGCCACAATCCAGTCCCTGACACTCTCCAGCATCATCGAACTGGAACAGCTCAAGCTATCCTCCTTCACGAACAGTGAGGTCCTGAAAGAACTCTCGATTCTCTGGCATATCCACGCTGCACACTCGTAAGCGTCCCTCTCACCCGCAGGCGACCGGCAGCGCTTGAAACCAAAACAGCGATGAGCATAAAAACTTGTGCGCTCACAGGGTTTGAAACACTCGTGGCAATGTGTGTGTGTGTGCGCGGTTCTGTTCAAAAAAAGATAACTGTCATTTTCGCAAACAAGCAAGGAAGAGTGTGTGTATGCACCATGGGTGAGACATGAACGAAAAGACCCAGAACCCGTCACCTCGATGGGCCCAGAGGCAGGGCTGCTGGCGATGGTGGCCTCAGTCTTCAGTCTTCAGTCTCGACCCCGGCCAGTGATGAACGCAACAGAATTAACGGAAGAAGAATAGAAAGACAAAATCATATCCGAAACGAACACAAGACTGTTCCAATTGGTCTCAAGCCGCCAGAGCGTCCAAAGCTGGCTTTCACTGGTGTTCGCCCCTTCTCGAGTTGATCAGCTGCCCAAAAAGAGAGCAGCGACACCGGAGTGAAAGTCCCTGCAAATCAAAACCGTTCACTTGAACTTTCGTTGAGTACGTCTCCTTCAGGGTATCTTCACCCTAAGTGTTCTGAAGAACGATATCCAAAGAGATCTCCACGCGTCAAAAATGCTCTACCAACAACAGGTTATGACTAATGACTGCCCAAAGCTGTGTCAACACAGCTGTTGCTTAGCTCACACAGGCTCACGGGAAGTCTTGGATGATTCCTCCTCCACCTTTCCCTGCCATGCTGCCTGCCATCAAAGGAAGGTTGGAAGGCCTCCCAATCCACGAGAACCCACCCCACCGAGTTTCCGGGCTCGAAGATTGCTGGTGGATGGAGCTGCTACAAAGCTCGCACCGCTCACCAGTGCCGCAGCGCCTGAACATCGCGAATGGATCCGAAACGAGCCACAGGATCGGATCGGAAGTTGATGCAAACGGCAGGGCCAAGCTGATTGCATACAGAATCATGCCGCTCATTCGCACAATTCCACACGTTCCGTTCACGAGTGTCTCACGCTGCGCCTGCAGCAGCAGCCATAGCAGTTCGGGAACTAGAGGCCATCCTCAGTTTCGCGATGAGATGCTGGAGGCCGGCAGGAAGGGCGTGCAGCAACCCCTTTCCAAACTCCATCAGGCTATGGTCGTCTGTCATCCATCTATTTCATCTGAAAGACGCCACTTTTTTTTTGTGATGCGCCAAACAAAATGGAGACTCCAGGAAACATGTCTTTGGTGGTTGTGAAGTCAACCCTAAACAGCAGTCAAGCCTGGGAGAACCCTTCACCCCACCCACCCCCAAAATCACTAGATTCTGGAGAATCAACCTAGCGGCATGGATGACTACCTCAACATACGCCACAAAAAGAAACAGATAATAGAAAGGATTGGTGGACACCTGTTGGTTGGGCAATCGCTTGATCTCTCATTCAATCTCCTCTTTGAAAGGTCCGTTTGGACTCTGCTATAGATTTAGCTGTTTAAGGTCCGGAGTAGAAACAGTATTCCGTCCGTATTTTGTGTGTGTGTGTAACTTGAAGCAGAGCAGTGCGCCCGCCAAAACAATCCAAAAAAACTCAATCAGGGAGCACTGTTTAACAAGCCCCTGATTAATCTGATTAGGGCCTCGGGACAAGTCCAATGACCTTTGAACTCGACGAAGTAAGGCGGGACGTGGCACAAAACCTAGATGATTTATGAAAAAAAACCTTCCAAAATCCTTGAAGATTGCAAAATTAGCCTGGGAAAGTACTCGCACTAGGTGTTCAACAAAGGGGTGTCATAGATCCTCCCCACCATGTGACACGAGAACGCGCCCAACATGTTGTTTTTTCGTTTGCATTTAAGAATTAAGGCAGGCACGCAATCAAAAAAGAGGCCAAAAATGGGAGCAACTTTGCTCACACAGCCAAAAAATGACCTTCCTTGAGCCAAAACAAATGCAAACATTTTTGTTAGGCGACGTTCTTGTGTTTACTGTGTTTACCGAGTCTCACGTTATATTTTTTCGGCCCGATCAATTGCACACAAAACCAATATGTGTTTTCAATGCTACCGTTTTTTAAAGATTCAATTTCCTGAAGACCTTGGGATTGGTTAGCCTCCGCCGGTATAGCATATGTTCTGCTCTGGCATCATGGGGAATCCATGGCTTGATGGCTTCGATCAACCTCCAGTTTGATGAAGCTCTTCATAAAAATAAGATTGAACCGGAAAAAAACACACAAACGAACAAACCCGATCGATCTCACCAAATACCTATCGACATACCAAACCCAGCCGGATTTAATCCATGAGACATTTGAACCAGCAAAACGGCACACTGAAACCAATTACGGTCTCCAGAAACGTTTTGTGGCTTGCTTCGTCGGTCGCCCATGGGAGTCAAGGGACGGAAAGCCTGCGAGAAAAATGTTATTGTATGTTGTGCTAGAGTGGAACAAATATCTTACGGTTTAGTGGGCGATGTTCCCTTGACATGTAGCTCACAGTCAATATTAGTAATGTGGGTGCTCATGGTGCGAACATTGACGGCCCCAAAGCCGGTGTGCGTTGCCAACACCTGCTTGTTTCTCAGGTGCACAGGCGCCTTAACTGGGGGCTGTCAACAAAACAGTCGGTTCAAGTTGGCGTAGTCTAGAGCGGCACGGCTTGCTTGGCCGAACCCTCCGTCAGGATGCGGCAACCGTACCAGCACCCACAGTCCCGTTTTCAGGCGACGTTGGCCGGGGAAGCAAGGCTTGGGGGGACAACAGAGTCCACGCGCCACGCGTCGCGTCGCGTAGGAGCGTTACACCCGGGCACCTGCCGCGCTCGATCGCTCGGTACGTCACTTCTGGGCGCCCACAACACTTCACGGGCGTCTCCAAATTGATCACAAGGCAAAGGCGGACACAGCAGCTCAGAGATTGCAAGCGAGAGAGGCGGGCACCACAGTCCAGGGCTGGGAAACACGCGGACAAAGTCCAGAGCTGGGAGACAAATGGAAAGGATTGCAAGCCAGAGGTCGGCACCGCCTCCACAGCAGTCCTCACAAGGCGGACACACTTAAAAAACAGTAGACTGTTTGGGGAAAAAGACGCTGTTCCAGCGTGCGTCTTGCCCCGATGAAAAACTATGATGCAAAGGATTGTAATAAGAGTATACGCGTATAAAGAATATACGCGCAAACCGTACAACAGGATTTTGCCGGTACACATATATACGTACAAAAATCTGTGCACACACGGTACAGTTGCTAGGTTTCACAGACATCACGCACCAGAGTTCAAACACAGCGAGAGCAACGCAAAGCCAGACCATTCAAAACACGACACGACATTACTCTAGAGGTTCCCGCGTTCTGAAGCAGCCTTTTGATCAGACCCGCAAAGATGCTGCTACAGCATATGTATTGCCGCATTGCCCAATTAAGAGAGAAATGATGTTGGGTGTTTGAGTATGCGCAACTAGAGACTGCGTGCAAGCAGTTGCGCGGATAAATGTACGCGTGCCAAATAAATCTTTGCGCCAACACCACAGTTCCCAGGTTTCACAAGCACCATGCACACGCGCTGAAACATATCAAGAACAAGGCCCAAGGCCAAACAATTCGACACACCAGCACCCTATTTTCAAAATGCACACAGCCAGCTCACAGCAAAGGCGCAAGCGCCCAGCGCGAGAGTACAGCACCGACACCCTGTTTTGAAAGCCCCCACAGCCAGCTGACACTGCACACCCTGGCCCAACAGTGCATGGGCACCTCACAGCATGGGCACCACCCAGCACCAGCACACCGTCTCGCAGGTGCAGGTGATACCAGCACCGGCACCAACCCGACACCCGGTCCCGACATAGCGCACAGCCAGCTCAAAAGGCGCCAGCACAAGCGCCCACCGCCGACACAGCTCACAGCACCGGCACCGCGCCCAGCGGCAACAACCGGCACAGTGCCAGCACCGACACCCTGTCACAACAGCGTGCACAGCCTGGCACGGCACCCACAACGCGCACGGGCAGCTCACAGAACCGGTCGGCGCCGAAGAACAAATGAGAGCTGGCAACGCATTGAGTCTGTGTCAGAAGCCGCACAACTGAGTACAGTGAAACTGCTGTCCTCAAGAATAATGTCAGATTGATGTTGGGTGAGATCTCCTTCTAAACATACCCCCACTTTTTCCTGCCAAGCACACGGCCTGTACACTCTTGCGATCTTCTTACGGCCCACAAAATTCAGCACAGTGAAGCGGCATCAAGCATGACCACCCTGCACATGTCTGGTCGAGGGGGTGATCTGAGTTTCGTGCGGGCATGAGCGGGGAAACATATCAAGTGTCTTGGAATATATTGAAAATAAGTGCACTATTGTTATATAGCATATATATATATACTATGTGTTTCTGTCGGGTGGGATCCTATATGATCCGCCTCGAGCTCGGGTGGGTTTTCTCAATTCTCAAACAACAATTTTTGCCGGTGCCAAAAACCGGCTCGTTGCAGGTTGCTGGTGAACTGGTCACGGACGGTTGAATGCACGGGTCCAACCTGAGAACAAGCTCAATGTCACACACTCCCACTCCTCAGCCCACTTGCCTAGAAGCCCCACATGGCTGGACCAGTGGTGCCAAACATGCCTAGGTAGGCGTTTTGGACCACGGGCAAGCGGGAAATTGTTGGCAGTCAAACCATGCCTTGTTTGACTTTGACACACCACCTTCCAACATCACCTGTAGCAGAAGACCTCTCAGAAATTAAGGTCAAGTCCGTTGAAGAATAAGGTCAGAACTGCACTGGGCTCGGAATCCAACCAAGGAATTGAGGGGCAGGTTCTGGCAGATTGGGGGTACGCCACATATTGACGATACAGAACCATCGAATATACCGCCCCGTTAAAGTTGGGCATGCGGCGTCATGCGGATCAGCTTCGGGATTCGGGATGATCCACAATGGTTAGCAAAGACAACAACTGAATACCAAAGCGGACGACCGAACCGCGAGTCAAGGAGCGACCCAGGACCCACATACCTGTCATCATGTGTCTTTTAAGTAGAAAATAGAAGAGAGAAAAAATGGATGGTATATAAGTGCCCCTTTTTTCAGGGTTCCTTACAGGGAATCCTTACCTTGCCTTTTTCCCTCCTTCGTCCTTCTCCCTTCCAAATTTTCCCAGTGAATGTGAACCTCACAAATGAGGCAGTGCCGTTCCCCCAGTTTTTGCGCCAGACTCAATCTTCAGCAAGGATCCGTTTTGGAAGAGCATTCCAGTGATCGCCACCTATGACAGAGGAAAATGATATGTTTCGGCCCAAAAGGGTCTTGTGGGCAACACACTCAGCTCAGCCCCGCTCCTACACGGCATAATCCTGGCAAGAGACCCCAAACAGTGTGTCTAAAGGTCTGACGGGTGGCGGTGGTGGTGGTGGTGGTGGCGATGATGATGTTGACGGTGGTGATGGTGGGTGGTGACGGTGGTGGGGGTTCACATACTGCAGGCTGAAACTGCACTTCCAAGCCCAGAACGCATCCACCACGAAATCTGCTCCTCAAGGTCCACAAAGCACTGTGCCTGCCACAAAATCTCCACTTCACGGTCCACCAATACTGAGCCCGCCAAGAAATCTGCACTTCAAGGTCCACAAAGCAATTACGGCGTTTGCTAAAAACCTGCACCTCAAGGCTCACAAAGTGCCGCGCCTGCCACGAAATCTGCACTTCAAGGTCCACAAAGTACTGTGCCTGCCACGAAATCCACACGCCAAGGTCTACAAAGTGTTGCGCCTGCCGCGAAGCCTGCACTTCAAATCTGCACCTCAAGGTCGACAAAGCACCGCGCCTGACACGAAATCTGTATAAAATCAAGATTCACAGCGGGCAGCCCTGCCAGCGATTCGCAGCGGGAGTAAACACAACATCAAGAGACACCAAAACGCAGCTTTCGCTCGAGACATCCTCCGATTTCTGAAAACGAACCACATGTCCAAAAGTCACGATTAACTGCACCTGCCACAAAATCAGAGCACGCCAAAGACCACCACCACATCAAAAATACTGCGCCCGCCGCGACATCTGCACATCGACGCAAAACCGCTCCGATCTCTTGCACCTGTCACGAAAAGTTGACTTTGGACCACCAAAACACGAGGTTTTCCTTGTACCTGCCACGAAAAGCGATCACCTAGCCCTAGCCTGAAAACGTGCACGGCACCACAACGCGCAGTCTCTTACCGTAAGAACCCCTAGTGTTACCACATTGTTTGGGGAAAATGACGCTCCAAAGATCATGGCATGGAGAATGGAATTAATAGATTTAACTCACGATATAGTCCAACCATATCTAACCGTGTTGTGGAGGGTGTGGGCCTGTGGGTGCCTTCAAAAGTTGCAAGCACATCCAAATGGAAACGGGCGGGTGTCCCAACCAGACACAGGGCAGGGAAAAATATGCTGCAACGTCTATGAAGAGCTGGTGTGTGTGTGTGTCACACTCTGTATCTAAGAGTTTTCCTCGTTTTGTTCCAGCAGGGGAGACACCTGTATTGCTTCTCCATCAACGAAGCTGGCAATACATGGTGAGGATATCAGTTCCGGACGCGGAACTGACGTACCTGCTTTCAACACACTGACACCAATGGGCCACCCTGCCGCTGTTTCGTTGTTTCCATGGTTGTTCTTCATGATACTTTCCCTAAAACCGATTTCCTTCAGCAGTCGTCCGCAGACTTGCAACAACTTTGAAGCCGCGTTTGTCGAGTGCGATTGGAAACCATGTTAAACCATACTGTTCCAGCTGACCTTTCCACCTTGCGGTTCTTCGCCTTCCTTCCACCTGGGAACTGAGTTAACTGAAAACCAATGTCAGAGTGTGATTCGCTCAGTCGTCCCACTTGGGTGCTGGGTGTGATCCTCCGCAAGGAGGCGCTGTTCTCATGCCGGAAATCGTGTAACTGCTTCCCTTTTCCACCAAACCTTGGATTCTCTTAGCCGCTTCCTTTTCACTACTGGATCGACTGCTTCACCAGCCGCCGGGCTTTCACGGAGAATAAACCCCAACGCGTTTTCTCCCCCAAACCCCCCCCCCCCCCCCCCCCACTAATTAGGGTAACAGAGGGAAATGGTACTCGACACACTTGTGTGTCGGTGCCTTTCCCTCTGTTGTCCCTTTTCTAGTCTACTCCACCCGGGCGGTTTAAGACTAAAGTCCCGCTCCCTAACTATTGCACTTAATTCATTTCTGCTAAGTAATCAGTAACTCTAGAGTGCTAAGTATTCAGACACAAACATGTACACACACATTGACATACACCCCCTCCCTGCCCCCCGCTTTCCTTCTTGCGGTTTTCGTCGTTTGTTGGGTTTTCTTTCAGGCTTTTTAGGTGATTCTTGAGGTTCGTTTCCCTACCCCAGTCAAGGGCTAAGTATTCACCTGCTTCTACACCTATCTTTCTCTCCTGCCCTTTTAGCGCTGCTCTTTCTGTTTTTCTTTCTTTCTTTTCTAAGGCTTTTTAGGTGCCTATTTAGGTTTTCATGCCAGAGCGCCGCAAAGCGGCGGAGTGTGTGTGTCACACTCTGTATCTAAGAGTTTTCCTCGTTTTGTTCCAGCAGGGGAGACACCTGTATTGCTTCTCCATCAACGAAGCTGGCAATACATGGTGAGGATATCAGTTCCGGACGCGGAACTGACGTACCTGCTTTCAACACACTGACACCAATGGTCCACCCTGCCGCTGTTTCGTTGTTTCCATGGTTGTTCTTCATGATACTTTCCCTAAAACCGGTTTCCTTCAGCAGCCGTCCGCAGACTTGCAACAACTTTGAAGCCGCGTTTTTCGAGTGCGATTGGAAACCATGTTAAACCATACTGTTCCAGCTGACCTGTTGCGGTTCTTCGCCTTCCTTCCACCTGGGAACTGAGTTAACTGAAAACCAATGTCAGAGTGTGTGTGTGTGTGTGTGTGTTCAACGTGGCTTGAATTCACTAGTCTGGCATTCTGCAGGTGCCAGAAATCAACCCCAATGACGTCCACAACCTTTTTGGCCAGTCGAGGACCCCGCCATTGCAAGGCGGCCGTTGGCCAGCTCCGAGTTCAACTTCCTGTCGGGTATGTCTCATGAAATTGCAGGACACCTTTCAAACTTCACACCCTGGTGCTTTGTGAAATCCAAGGAAGTTTGGATGAGAAAGCAGACGAGTGAGGAAAAGTTGCAGTCAAAAACTGCGTGACATTGCGGGAGGGAGGGAGGGAGGGAGGGAGCGAGGGAGCGAGGGAGCGAGGGAGCGAGGGAGCGAGGGAGCGAGAGAGAGAGAGAGAAAAAAAAAGAAAAGAGAGAGAGAGAGAGGGAGAAAATAAAGAAAGAAATAAAGAAAGAAAGACAAGCACATACTACATACTTCATCATCACACTACACGTCTCGTCGCTTTACCACATGACAGATTGCCACAACAGAAATCCCCCTTTAAGTTGCAACACTTTAGAGATCACAAACTACGCTTGACATCGCTTGACTATCTCACCAATCATCGCGTCACACTTCACCACATCGCGCTTCGCCGCGTACTGCACTTCACCACATCACTACATCCCAAACACATCGGCGCATCATCTGTCACAAAGACAACCATTTAGCTTGTGTTTCCATGCATCTGCTCTGATTCACCATACAAAGGTCATGTCCAAGCACAACTGTACAAGCCAGGGGACTTACTTCAGTTAAGTGGTACCCTAGTCTAACGACTAGCGGCCAGCAGATTTCTGTCAACTTCGCCGAGGACTCCAAACGCATTCACAAAACAATCCTCCAAGTCTCACGGAGTAGACCTTCAAGAGGCAACTATTCAACAATTCCTCTGCCCATATAACAAAGAATAATTACCCAAACAAATCTGATAAAGAAAGATTCTCTCCAAAACAACGTGTCCAAAACCTTCCCGACACCCGTTCGTCACATGGCAACCCTCACCTTTTGCGGCCCTCGGCGTCGCTCATGGGGCCGCTGGCATTGGGCACGCCCAAGATGCCGGCGTTCCTGAGCAATCCCACAAACGTCAAACGGAGTCTCTCGGCAGAAAAATATCGAAGACCTTGAAGGAATGGAGATTGTTTTGGATGGAAAGGGATCGCACACACCCAAGTCGGAGACTTGTTGCTTTACTGTATTGTATCATGTTGCATGAACATAGAGATATAGTATATATACATTGTACGTTTTTTACTTGGCTTGCCAAAAAATACTCTCCATCATGACTCTGTGTAGCTCCCATGGTTGCCTCACGGTTAAAGCGCAGATGTACACAAACGTGGCTTGCCGCAGCTGAGGTTCTCATAGTCTCCAGGGTCTCGAGAATCATCTGCCCTGCGCAGGCGCGTTGCAGGCGGGCGCAAGGTGTGCCAGGTGTGCCGTGCCAGGTCTGCCAGATGCTGAAGAAAGCACCAGATACGGAATGAACTGAAAAAAAGACAGGACAGCTTTTGATGGGAAAGGACTGCATGAGCACCGAGCACCAAAGTCCTTTGCTCCACTGGGACAGAAACAGTTGACTCTGCCTGTAGAGGCCGAAGTCCACCATGCCACAGAAGAGGAAGATCTGGATCCAGCCAGTCAAAGGCACCTGACTCGAACACTTATTCTGCAAATGCAAACCCAAATGTGTTGAAAAGAATTGGCAAGTGTTCCTGTTATTCACCTATTCGTTTGTGTTGTAGGGTACTTTTGTCACACTCTCGATGCTAGCGCACAAAAGAAGCATAGGCGGCATTGATCCATTTATATGTCATGTTTGCCCAAACTGGCGACGTTGTGCTGGCGGGCTGTAAAGAAAGCTAAGGCCTGGCGAGCTACTTTGCTTGGCCATGCGACCAAAATATTCACCAGCTTCTACCGCTACCCACATCATCAAATCAATTTTCTCGTAGACAGGGGACTGTCAAACCAAGAAGAAAAGAGCCAACATGACCAGGAATTGCTTTTTCAGTCATACAAAGTGAAACAACTCGGAAACTTGGTGGAACATGTAAAGTCCGGGCGTCACCCCCAGCTAGACTGCACCCAAGATCCCAACCTTGGAGAGTGCTGCCAAGCCATTTGGAACATCAGCGAACTTGAGCCCCTTCGCAGGCCTCGGTCGGCCAACCGCGCGGGGTTCGGGCAGGTTCGCGGTGAAAACTGCACTTCGCGGGACGCACGACGGAGGGTCTGAGCAGCACGCGAGAGGTAGCCAGGGAAGCGGAAGTACTCCGGCAGGATGACTTGGTTCAACATGAACAATCACCAGAATGCGTTTCATACCAGCCAAACTCTTTCATTGAGCCATATGCCAAGCTGCAGCCCATAGTGGCGAACATCGCCACACGGCCGTTCTTCAGCTCGCTCTCCCGGCGGCGGCGAAAGGTCTTCACGTCCCCGTCCTCGCGGAGTGGTCGAGTCATCGTTGGTCAGTCTTCGGCGGCTTTGACGGATCATCTCTCTTAAGAAAAGATGTCTCACAATGTTGACAAAGAAGCATGTCCTTGGCCAAGCCCATGGGGTCGAAGTAGCCCACTGGGGCCTTCCGCGCTGTGATCAACCCCCAATCCATGAATTCTCCTTTTGCCAGGCGTAGTTGAAGAAAAACACTCTGGGAACATGCAAGTGGCAGATCCACCAGTACAAGGTCCCGCTCTCTTGAGTAAGAGGTGAATTTAAGTCTCTCTCAAGGAGTATGTACCCTCAGTCCTCTCCATCAGTCTACAGGAAGAGTGTGCTCAGTCTGTCTGTGCTGCCCACTTCTACCCCTACTGGCCATACTACAAGATCATAAGGAATGAAAGAAAACCAATTGAAACCCTCTTGAAAATCTTTAGGATGAACCCCTGGACCAGAACATCTTGAGCATCAAGCCTGGACACCAAGCTCGTTCTCGAAGGCTCTCAGAGGGGAATCGGTGTACGCTGCCCAATCCCCCCAGGCAGAGCCAGTGAGGCCATCCTGCGACAACACCGTTCGTTGCATGTTGTCTTGCGTTTCGCGCCGAGTTCGCGGCCTGGAAGACATTCAGAGGGAAAACAAGCATTAATGATCGTATTGCAATCTGTCGGGGTGACCACCATGCCAATGCAAACAATGCACGAATGGAGCACCGTTGGACTAGAAAAAACCTGTTGCCTGGCAGATGAGGCTACGCATTCTTTCCAAGAGTCCAAAGAGTAGAAAACTGTGCTGTGTTCCTTTGCAGCCCTGGTTCAGCTTTGTCTTGACAAAATTAGAGCTATATAGATGTCCAGTATGTGGACAGCGTTAAAACAATTTCAATTATGGGTTCGTCAGAGGAAGTAAGTAGTGGCATAAGTCATGTCTACAAATATGTTATATCGAGTTAACGACCACTTTGAGTGGGCATGCCCTGAAGGTACATTGTGCCTTGATACAAAACATATCCTTTGTATTCCTTTGTCGCATTCATTGTAATTAATGAAGGAAAGTGAACCGGTTCGACAAAAGTTGCAACCCATGGCTGATATGGAGCTCAAGCTGCACTCAACCATAACAGCAGCTGTGATCCCATCATGTGTCCTGAAAAAACATGCCAATGATTGCCATCATTGCCTCAGTTCTTAAAACGGAGCTGTGTTGCGCTTTGTCTCTTGAAGGAGGCTTCCAAGTTCGAACAAGGCGGAGCACTTAAACAGCTCCTAAGATCGTGTTGATCGCATACGAATTGTCTCTTGAGGGAGCACAAAGTTCTTGAACATGTCTTGCGCTGTTTGTCAAGCGTCCAAAGCTACATAAATCATTGACATCAAGACATCCACAAGAAATGTAGTCTGAGTCTCCAAGCCCTGGAGCACTGGAGACTTTGGGACGTTAGCTAGAGTCAGAGAGAGAGAGAGAGGGAGAGAAAAAAAGAGAGAAAGAGAGAGAGAGAGAGAGAGAAAAAAAAAAGAAAAGGATGTGTGTGTGTGTGTCTGATAGCTTGAGACTAAAGGCATGACATCCTTTCAAACAAGAACAAATCTAAAACAATAAAGGTTCAAAATTGGTATACTTCAGCTACCAGAGATAGCAGGGGGTCGCATGGCTAACAGCCTGGTGACCATCCCTCACTTGGCCAAAGCTCCTCACGGCCTAAGTGGTGCCCAGTCACCAGGCGCCCGTTGGCGAGTTCGGAGTTCAGCTTGCGAGTGCGTCCCTCACCAGGCACCATTGTGCTGCCGTTGGGCGCGCCCAGCACACCTCCAGGAAAACAAGGAGCCACTTCGGGAAAGTGTCTGAGACTCCACTTCCATCTGGTAAGAAAGACAAGTACCAGAGCTCCTGGGTAAAGACGCCTTGCAAATGTTTAGACAGGCAGGTGCAGGTGGAGACCGTGGATAAAAAACCGTGAGACCGGCCACACCCCAACTCTGCAAAGGAATTGTATGAAACAAACATCTCCATGTGTTTGTCATAACGATGTCCTTACAGATCATATTCTCCGAGGAGATCAACCAGGCCCACCTGCACTCTTGAAGTCGCCAGGGGAACGAGTAGGATCATAAGTGTAGATTCCCTTCTCCACCAGACCAAGGAAGAGGAAGATCTGTGTCCACCCAGCTGCAGGCACCTCGTGACAACAAACCCAGGAGAGCAAGGTATGCCATGGTCCAGACTCCAAAACTGGACAAACCAAGATCGGACATGGTCAGCCTTTGCAAGAAATGTTGCTACAAGTAGTGGGAAATTGCTGGACAAAACATTTTCCTGGAAGCCATTCTTCCACTGTTTTCGCCCCCACCCTGAACTTGCATGACAGCACAACATGAGCATCCCAACCTTCCCAAGTGCTGCCAAGCCATTGGGCACATCAGCAAATTTCACCCCTTCAGTGGGAGAGCAGTATCCTGCAATCTGGTGCAAACAAAGTCACAAAGCACACCAAATTGGCAGAAAAGAAAGCACTTACTTGAAGTTCTTTACTTGAATTCTTTCTGAATCAAAGAAGCTTCAATGTGGGATACCAATGATTTGGAAAAGCAGTTTGAAGTGCAAGCCCCCTAAACAACACACAAAGTGATTTAGAAAGTTCCCTGGTTCCTGAAAACAAAAAAGAGCGCTGCATCTTTGCTGCCCATCCCCCGCTCAACTCAAGAACAATCCTGGGAAGCGGAAGTATTCCGGGACGATGTAGCCCATGGTGGCCAACATGGCCACTCGTCCTCAGCACCCAGTGGTGCAAGTGGAAGTAGCTCAGAAAAAGGCTTGAATAATGTTGAGCTTGCAGCTCAACCGGAATAGTATATATAGCTTCAGCCATGTGGTTGTGGGAAGAGTCTTCCGTGGCTCATCTTACAAGGAGGAAAGAGGAGAATGACCAACTTCGGCTGAAAATGAGGAAATGCTAGCATGCACGGTTTGGCCAAACAAAGATAGACTAGGTTGTAGACTCTGCTTGTTGACAACGATGCAGGGCCTGTTTGCTCGTGGAATCGCACAACCCCTGTCCTCTCCAAGTCCTCTCCCTCCTTCATTTAGTCCCCTACAGGATCGACAACAAAACTCACGCGACAGTGAGGAGCTTCACCAACCTTCAACGTCAAACTGATCCTCTCCCCCTCTCTCTCCCAATCTCCACCTCTCTCCTCTCTCCACCTCACAACTCGTCCAGGCGCCGTTCTTCAGCTCTGTTGCGCGGCGGCGCTTGAAGGCCTCCACGTCTCCATCCTGAAGACTGGAAAGGAAATCCGGGACGGAATGGAGGGTAATGAAGGATTTCTCATGTCTTCGAATAAGGGGGCACCCAGCCTTGGTCAGTCCAAAAGGGTCGAAGAAACCCACGGGCGCCTCAGAGGAAGAACAACTCGCATCTCATGAGGAGCTGAAAGCACTGTCTAATTTAGACAAAAATAAGGAGTGTCCTTTAATTTGGTTCTTCCTCTTTCTAATACTGCAGTTTGGCTGACGAGAGAAAGCCGTTGAGGCTCCAGGCAGTTGGCTACATGCCCCTTCCATTTCATTCTTTCTTCCAATCCAAAAGTGTTACAAGCAACGCACAAGCCGTTCTTGATGTTCACTTGCGGTTCAAGGCATCTTGTTGTTTCAAGTATGTTGTCCGAACCAAAAAACAAACTACCAATGAGAGTTTGGCTGGTGTCGTCATTAAAACAAACATGTCAAAGTGAAAGGGCCTGCACACCCAGCTCATTCTCAAAAGCCCGGAGCGGGGAGGCTGTGTAGTTGGCCCAGTCACCCCACGCGCTTCCAGTCAGACCATCCTACATGGTATCGACATAAATTTTATGTGTGATTCAAAGTGTGAAAGAATGCCAGCGTCAGCATTGCGCGATTCTTGGTCATTAGCAAATTGGCAAAAGCATACGGACGCAATGTCCATTCTTGGTTCAACAAAACAACGTGCATCCCTTTTGAATGATCACCCCATGCCTACTCCACATCTGGACATCTAAATCAATTTGTGTTTGCACATTTCACTGAGACATGTGCCTGAAAGAACATCCCGATGATGGCCATCATCGCAAGGCGGCCATTGGCAAGTTCGGCTGAAAGTTTCTTGGTTTTCTCCTCAGGATCTGATGAAGTCAAGACCTTGAAGCCAAAGTCTCCAGCCGCAGCAGGCGTGCCAGGAGATTGATCCTGGGAAACCTCGCAGAATGCCATGTAGGCCAAGATCTGTCCCCAACCGGCAGCAGGCACCTTGGAGATTGCCGCAAGTCCGTTTGGCACGTCAGCAAATTTAAGTCCGGCTGATGGAGACAAATAGCCTGGAAGTTTTCCAGTGATCCTTGGTCGAATTCAATGAGACGTTCACAATAGCACTTTGTACAAACATCCAATGCACAAACAAGGGAAACGTTCACCAGGTTCCAAAGTCTTGTTGAAAACACAAACCATACACATACTCCAAAGTTGAAACTAGACGACGGTTGGCCCAAGAGCGAGAAAGGTGATTGTCAAGCAATTCCGAGTAAGGAAATAGTTAAAATCGAGTTGTCCAAGAGCCATGACTTCTTTATACAATTTGTTATTGAGTAAGAAGTTGCGAAGGGATTAGATTTAAAGTATTAAGTGAAGAGATATGTAGAAGGTGCCGATGTGTGATATAGATGCGCCGATGTGTGGGTGTGCGGAGGTAGAGAGGTAGATCTGCGGATGTGAGGGTGTGAAGATGTAAATGTACAGAGGTGAGGGTGTGTAGACGTAGATGCGCAGATGCACGGCAGCGCCACGTTGTGGGTCAGGGGCGCCATTTCTCGCTGGGCAAGTACAACGCTGAAGCGGTTCGACTCCAACATAGCACACCAGCGACACGCCGCGTTTACGCCTTCCCACCAAGCCCGCGCAAATCCGCATTGGAGGAGCGAAATCACGGACGTCCTTGCACCACACGGTCTGCCCACACACTATAGAAGCCATCCTATATACCGCCAATCATCCTGCTCCTTAGCGATACACCGCGTTTGCACCAGCGTATTTCGCGCTCCCCTGTGGCACGGCGCCATGCAAACGCATTTTCGACCAAGGCCGCGTAAATCCGCGTGGCACTGCGACATCGGTCTGGCCACACACTAGAAGCAATCCTATCATACGATACCGCCAATCATCCCGCTCACCAGCGACACACCGCGTTTACACCAGCATGCTCCCCTGTGGCACGGCGCCACGCAAACGCACTTTCCACCAAGGCCGCGCAAATCCGCGTGGCACAGCGACACCACGAACGTAATTTCGCCACACGGTCTGCCCACACACTACAAGCAATCATATCCCGCGATACCGCCAATCATCCCGCTGACCAGCGACACACCGCGTTTACACCGCTTCCTCCAAAAGTGAAGCGCCAAGTCTCCAAAACGAGCGTTTCGTACGAGACTTCCTCCAAAAGTGAAGCGCCAAGTCTCCAAAACGAGCGTTTCGTACGAGACGTCCTCCACAAGTGAAGCGCCAAGTCTCCAAAACCAGCGTTTCGCACGCTTCCTCCAAAAGTGAAGCGCCAAGTCTCCAAAACGACTTTGCCGTGAGAGGTAGCAATTGACATGGTGCACTCTTCATTGTAGGGCCAAAAGCATCCGGTTGAACAGGGGGTAGACCGTCAGCGAATTTGTTAAAAACCTTATCCCAAGCGGCAGTGATGGCTGCAAAGATTTCAGCTTTATTGGCACTGGCTTCCCCGTGACTATTAAGGACAGCCCCACTGGAAACTTCCTGTCCTTTCTTAAGCCATTTATGCAAGTCATGCTTTGAGGTTTGCATACGCTGCTTCCAACTTTTGATGCGTGCTTTTCGTTCATCGTTTTGGATGGTTGCTATCAGGTTGCACATAGCCGTTAGAGTCTGTGGGCAAAGGTCTAATTTAGCGAGGCGGCGAACGTCATCAGTGTGTTGCACCTGTGCTTTGGTCAACGCGACCTGAGTTTGGAGGTTTTTCCATGTCAGGGTGGCACGATACCCGAAAAGTGTGAGTTGGTCGAGTTCTTTCAGCTGGCGCAAAAATTTTTGACCAGCGTACAGTCTCAAGTGTGGTCGCACTTTCATTATACTGTTTGGGGAAAACCCGTTGCCTACGGAATCGAATTTTGCCTTTGCCGGTCTTATAGGTCAACGCAGGAGACCCTGTTGATGCAAGAGGAATACTCAACAAACATTCTTCAGCGAGTTTAGACCATATGCTCCAAGCACTTTCAATCTGATCCTGCTGAAGTGCAGAGAAAACGGGCTGGAAATTACGAACAGGATGTGTCCTAGACTCAGGTGCTTTGGCAAATTCGCGTCGATAAGAACTAGTCTTGACGCAGTATTCATGTTGACAGGCAAGAGGGGTTTGGAGGTGGATGGTAACAATTTGATTATCTTTCTTTAAAATACCAGGTCGAACAGAATATGAACCATTTTTTGCTTTGAGGCAAGTGGGTGTCTGATCAGCACCTGCTGCGTCAAACCACTGGCCAAAGGTCAGGGTGTCCTGAAGAGGCGCACATTCATTGACTTCAATGTTAAAATCAGCAAAGAGTAGAACAGGGAGGCTCAGTTTGGTAGCGGCAAACTCGAAGATGGCTGCGATAGCTTTATTATTCTCTTGGAGCAATTGTGGGCCCCAGCATGCACCAGCGTACCCGTAAAAACCTACCGCAATGAAACTGGTTCTGCCGTCTCCAACAAAGATTTGGGCTGCAGCAAGCCTACCTTCCTTGTGTAAAACCTTCAACGGGCCAGTAATAGGTCCTTCAAGGATCGGTTCAAGCCGACTTACGTCAAGCTATAAAAGAGTAAACATGGACCAGAAGAGGTCGTCGTGGGAAGTTGACATACATATGTAGCCGGAAGTAGGTTAGAAGTTAGAAGAGTAGTTGTGACTAAGAACAACCGGAAAAAATTGAAAAACATAAAACCTGCCAGATGCGCACTATTGCGTATAGGAAAAATGAGAGGAAACATTCAAAAAGAACAACAAACAAAAGGTGCAACAATGCGATTGCCGATACCGAGGGGGTGCCAAAGAATGTAGGGGACCGCCGGAGACAGGAGGGCCACACCACTAACCCCCAAGCCCATAAAAAACCACCTCAGTACCAAGTCACTGATGGGTTCGCCCCGGACCGGCCTAGCGTGGAGGCCTGCCACCGTGAGGTCGGGCCCTGCCATCCAGGCTCTAACGACGCGCGGCCGATCTGCTGCGGTCGTGTCCTTCTCTCTGTCTTAGCCATTTCACGCTGCGTCATTGGGACCCACAACTGTGGGCCCTAAATGCATATTGGCTCGGAGCTTTGGAACCAAGTGCGTAGTCACACAGTCATGGAAACGCAAGGTTTTTAGTCCAAAGCGGAGCCTGAGATCTATAAACTTCTCCCGTGGAAAATCATGCTGTACCGGAAAGAGGCCTACAATGCACTCAGGCTTCACCTTTAATCCGCTTGACCAGGTCTGGGTTCTCGAAGCAGTGCTCCAGGTGGGGATCAAGGTCCGCTAGCATCAGCTCAGCCAGCCGTTCTTTCAAGGGCCAGAATTTGTTTGGGGACCACTCCTCCACTCCACTCCACTCCACTCCACTCCACTCCGCGCCGCGCCGCTCCACTCCACTCCACTCCACTCCACTCCACTCCAGCTCCTGCCTGTCTTGCTTCGTTGACCTCTGTCCCTGCGCAACAGCAGCTTGCCGACCTGCCTTCTTTTGCACAACTTCTGGCCGCCGTGTCTCAACTGCGTGGTGGCAAAGCTCATGGGCCCGACGGAGTGCAACCAGAACTCATCCAGGCCTTAAACCTGGTGAATTTGCGGGCCCTCCAACTGGAAGGCCAATTATCTGGTTCCGCTTCCTAAATCCGGCTACTTGACCAACTGCGAAAGGCCTTTTGGCGGCTTGCGTGTGGACTCTCTCTCCATACCAAACTGCGGGTCTATAGGTCTTGCGTTCTTTCGGTTCTCTTGTATGGGGCTGAGTCTTGGACAACCGACTTGCATGACATTCGTGGCACTTTTGCTGGATTTTCGTGAAGCCTTCCAGGCGGAAACGCGTGACTTTTTCCATGTCTTGCTTCCAGTCTTCCAGCTTAGACACTCGGTCTTCCAAGTTCAACTTCGGGGCCATCGTACCAAGGAAGCGATTTGGGAAAAACAGGCTGAGTACTTAGTAGGCTTGCTCGCTGGATGCTACGGTCAGAGCAGTTGGAGGCACAAACAACAACTTTAAAACGAGTTTTGCCCCTCCGCGCCGAGGAGGGTCCTGGGAAGACACCTGCAAAGTAGTGGCCAAGCGTGGACAATCAAAGAGCATCCTCCACTCGCCAGTGCGGACCCATTCGGTTGAGAAAACTTGATGTAGAAAAAGAAAAATGGACGTTGCACTGAACATAAAAAGCAGCGCACGGCGAAAAAACAAAGTGAGTGTCAGCCGCAAGCGGCGGCAACAGGGATGCAAACAGCCCTGCTGGTCGTCGTCGTCGTCGTCGTCCTCGTCCTCCTCGTCCTCCTTGTCCTCCTCCTCCTCCTCCTCCTCCTCCTCCCTCCTCGTCGTCGTCGTCGCCGTCGCCGTCGCCGTCGCCGTTGCCGTCGCCGGCCAGCTTTTGCTTGAGCTGCCAGAAGTCACGGGACTCTGAGGCTTCAATGCAAAGCCCTAGGACTTTGGGGGTATTCTCCAGTCGGACCCGAGTCACTACATTCACATCGTTCCTGAATTCCTCCAACTGGTTCAGACGTTGTGTTCCACGGTCATCACTTTCGGTGCCATCTTGCGGGTGGAACACTTACAAGACAGGGGGTCTCTTGAGCGTAAGGCTGGCTAGCAGCATGTAACCCGCAGTTCCCTAGGTGAAGGGGAGTGGATCGTTTGTGAACACAATTTGGCCCATGCTCCGACGGGTGTCCTGAGCAGCATGCGCACCGAAACTTGTACGGAGAGACGCAGCATCGTCCTGCGTTTCGTGTTTCTGTTGAGAACAACACTCGTCTCTCCCAACGTGTGGCACAGAAAAGTGATAATCCTGTGAGGTGTGGGTTGAGAAGGGAAAAAATCAAATAAACTAAAATCTGTAAAAAGCAGAATGACCTCAGAGTAGAGTCTGACTCAATAGAGGTAGGTGTCATGTTTCGTATCCCGCAGCGGTCCCAGTACAATGACTATCCTGAACTTTAAAGAAAAAATCAGGAAACGCGCAGTCTGTTTACGGCACAAGGCTAAGAACCCACAAAACTTAACGATAGAATAAAGCAGCTACCATGGCATAAAGTGGGTCAAAGCAGAAATCTCC